TTGGTTTCAATGAATACCTTTAAAATACATATTTAAATTTACGCGTACTACGGGTGAGCGCGCGCTCAATCTCAACCCGATGGTTGACTCAACGGAAACTTCTTTATGTTAATGAAAATTAAAATAATGCATTATTTGCGAAGGTGTTTTTATAAATATGATATTTTTTTTATTTATTTGGGATAAATCCTTATCCAAATAAGATATATATATATATATATATATATATATATATATATATATATATATATATATATATATATATATATATATTATTTTTGAAAGCTATTATAAAATTTAAATTAAACGTAACTTAAAATCATCAGCTGGGGCGTGTCGCTAGGTTGCTACGATATATTATTTTCATGAAAAGCATCTTAAAAAAATAAATATTCTTTTCAAAGTAACTATTCCACGTGGACGAAATCGCGGACAAATGCATGTCTCTAAAGAGTTTACTTTCTTGCTGACTCTACACAAAACTCTAAAACAATCTTATGGATTGACTTGATATTAGTTCACAAAATAGCTTTTGGACAGAGGAGTAGGTATTTATTTCGAAGTCCCTTCTGAAACGAAAGAAAAATCCACAGAGAAGCGCGCTGTTGTTCAGCCAGTATAATGTGTAAGAGTATTATAACATACTGCCTAATATTTATGTTCAAAGTTAGGTTCTAATATCTCGACATTACCAACAATTAACAAAGATTCTAAGTAATAAATAACTATACTAAAATAAATATTATTAATGTAACTAACGGAAGTTAATTTTTATTATTTTCCTCCCTACCATCAAAACGATCCAAAATTTGAAAAAGTAAAAAAAACTGGATGATAGAGTTCGGCAACTGTTTGTACCAGGGACACATAACGAAGAGGCCGTATAAAACAAGGTATGCTTAAACTGACGTCAGTATTAACTTTCGCTTTCAATTTGCGCAGCGCCCCCTTATTGATTTCTGCAGATCCTAACACCACTGGCCGCCCATACACTGAGTGGGATGAGGAACTGCTGCACACTGATAACACACATACAGCGGTGGTGTGACTCAGAACCGTGCACTATAAACTCCTACCGTTTATGCTCTCCTGTGAACGGTGCAAGGAAATTGTGCACCTTGATGCACATTGCAAGCGCAATTGGTGCATTTTTTACAGTTACAAGAAAGTACTTTTTAACCAAATAGCCAGGTACAAGTGTAAGGCGCCTGCCAATGAAGTTATAGGACTCAAAAATTAGGTTAATTTACTCTATGTGCCTAACCCAAATCACATTCGAAAAAAAAAAGCTGGTAAATTGCGAGTCGAAGTCGTACGCCGAGAGTTCCGTACCTACCTATTATACGGCCATTATAAAATTGGGAAATAATCACCACCGTTTTCTCAGGAACGGGTGGACCTAACAAGTTAAAATTTATACCAGACATTGAGGTCTATAGTCCCTATTGAGTATATTAAAATCAAGGTCCTGAGACAACACAATAAAAAGATATGGGCAAATTTAGATTTTCACGAAAAATTTCATTAAAATCGGTCCAGCCGTTTAGGAGGAGTTCAGTGACATACACTAGAATTATATATATATATAAAGATTATATATATATATATATATATATATATATATATATATATATATATATATATATATATATATATAGATAGATACAAATTACTGAGTAATAAAATATGCATAATATTTTTCGATCTTATCTTATGAACTGGTGTTTTTCACAAAAGAAATAACTTTAATCCTTAAATATTTTTCAAGATTAGTTAATAAATAAAACAAAAAAAAAATAATCTATTCGTAAAATACAAATGTTCATGGTAATGATACTAAGAAAAACTAACATAACACTAAAAGCGAAGTCTCGACCCTAAAAGGTGTTTCAAAATTTAATTTCCACAGGTCAAACTAATTGTTTAACAAAATTTATAATGATTACGAAATTTACACGATCGGTTACAGGTTTATGTTACAGGTTTTAATAATTTTGTACAATAATGAACTATGAAATCAACTTTGCCAAGTTTTAAGCTTGTTAAACAGTGTCCAAGATTCAATTATGCTGAGCACGGAATCTGATATCGTGAAAAGATTTCTGTTCTTTTTTATTTTTCAAAACTTTAGAACAAGGTAATAAAATTTTTAATAGATAATTAATACCGTACTAAGGAGTAAATGAGTATGTTGAGGCGGTCTTCTGGAGCTTTCAATGACCTGAATGGATGATAAATGTTACAATGATTTGCAGTAAAAAGGTCTTTTTCAATATATAGTTTAAAATGGAATGTTTTAATGAGATCTTTTTAGGCTTAAAATGCCCCGACAACCAAAAAGTTTGCACATTACATAAATTGCTAATACATACATATATTGCATAACATTGTTAATAATAAAATATATAAAACGATTTTTTGATGTAACAATAATTGAGTATAAAAAAAAATAAAGATAAGAAATTTTTGTTGTTTTTTTAAACTAAGGAAAATAGCACATAACAATTTGTTTTTAAAGTAAGTCTCAAATGATCAGTCTTTGATTGGACAAAAAAACTGTACACAGTAACGACAGGGTAAAACTTTATTTTAAAAATGAAGTTTTCCTAAACCGGTGAAAACGGCATCCGCCATGTTAGTCTGTAGATTATATGTGTTGTAACCTCATTCTATTGTAAACAATCATTTGACATTTTTAAAATAACCTTACTTGCCAACTTAAGAATTTTCTTCCTAAATTTAGGGAGAAAAAATGTACAATGGAAGTTTTTAGGGGGTAAATTTTTTTGAGAATATTTTTAGGAGTAAAATTTTATTTACATCTTTGAAAAAAAAACTACACAGGACTAGTTATTTGAAGAAAAAATATAAGTAATTTAAAAGTGTTAGCTGCATTGGTGGACAGGCCAAGGCCTATGAGCTAATATTTTAAATTCTTTCCCCCTAAACTATGAAAATGAATATTTTATTTCTTAGTCAAGATTAAAAAAAATTGCAACTGAGGATTAAAATATATTAAAGTCATTAGTAACCAGTTATTTACTTAATATGCATATATTCAGCAATAGAAAACGCCAAAGGATGACAAAACTGTCGTCGGATATGTTTACAATGTAACTGGTTATTTTAGTTTATTTATTCTAATGATTAGTATTTTTTTTAAATATTTTATTGATTTAATGTTAACATTTTAATTTCTAAAATAATAAAAAAAATGAAATATAATATTTAGTTGTCTTGATCATTTTAATGAAATAGTTATTTAAGGAGTATTTTTTTAGCAGTTGGTAGCACTGCTATCATTGACATCGGTTTGTTTACAAGTTATGTGACGTCACATCATGGCCGCAAGCGTTTTCACTTTTTCAGCGTTTAGAACCAAAACTAAAAGTAGCAATTTTTGCATTGAAATTGTGCAGTCATCTTGCACTTTTATCGAAATCAATATATTTCGGTTTTGTATAACTAATACTGCATGAAATACTCATTTAGCATAAGTGTATAAAATGTTTGTATCCCGAGCCGAAATGTGCTTCGGAAACAAATGCACATGAAATGGCTTACTTCTAACTTCTGTTAAAATAAAAATATGATTGTTTTTGAAGGAATATGCCCTTTTATCATATTATGTCTCCATTGAAAATGTGAATAAAATTATTGACATTATTGTATCTTTGATAAAATTAATGCCTTTTTCATTAATAAGCAGTAGTTTCGGAAACAGGTTCTGCAAAAACGAAGTCAGTCTTTTGAATAAAATAAAGTCTCTTGTGACAAATTTTTGAAATTGACACTTCTTTGTCGCGATTGGAAATAAAATATGAGAGTAAAATCTTTACGATGCCAGCCAATAAGCCAAATGATCTTCACTTCAGATGAGGGTGCAAAGCGACCAACTTCACGGTATTACTTCTTATTGACATTTACCTAGAATCCCAATTTATTATAATTACAGTTTATTATTATTATTAATGTCTTTTTCCCGAAAAAAAGTAGGTACTGGCACAGAGGATAAAATTTTCGGCTCTTTTTTCTTTTATTACGCCAAAGAAGTATAACTTCTTATGTGCTTACATAACATACACATATTTTTTATATGTGAAATACAAGGTTTTCGGAAGGAAAATATTATTTTTGTTGTTTATTATACAGGAAGCTTTAACCTTAATTAAAAACAATGTATATCTAGATGTTGAGTTATTTAAATGTTTGAATCCTCAGTTTTTGGGACAGTGTTAGCAGTGTATTGTATGTAATGGTTAGATTCGCCCTGGGAAGTACCAAGGGGTGAAGAGAAAGTATTATAATTTCGCGTTTCATCTCGGAAGTGAGCTAATCGAGATCTACTTTTTTCAATATTGACAACTTATTCGCACCCTCTCTGGTATTGTAGATATCCCCTCTGGTATTGTAGATGTCCATGGGCGGCGGTAACAACCTAACATCAGGTAAATCGCCTGCCCGCCTCATCATTCACAGAAAAAAAATATCGCCATACCAAATTGGTCGTCGTTCTTACTGTTCACTTCTTCTAACTTGACACTTAACACTAAGCTGAAGGTAGAGTACACTGATATAGTTCAATATTTATTAGCATTAACTGTAGGCCCGTAAAATTTAAGATAAGAAAACGTATTTTTGAATACAAATAACAATCAAAAAGTGAGAAATATATATACCGCAGAGTTGACAGAAACTTCAGAGCTCCTTGGAAAGTACCGATTGTTCATTGCGGATATTCAAACCTATGTATGTATATATATATGTATGGAAAATGCTTTCACATAAACTCGGTCGACTTCTCTACAAAACGGCATTATACTGTTTATTATCTCGATTAGCGCTTTGCGATCATTGCCAAACGCCGTTAAATATAAGTTGATAAACAGTCCTGTGCAAAATAATTATGGGGAAACATCTGACAAATCTAATACTTAACTACGGCTTATGTGTCGATAATGGAAATGTTTCGATCGCATGAGAATGTCGCAGGTACTTACCGTGTTCGTTGGCGACGGCATATTGGTAGTTGGATATGAGGTCGGGCAGGTCGTGGCGGGAAGGCGGCGACGGCGGCGGCGGCCGGTACGCCGGCTCAACAGTGCTATACGCGAGTGGCCACTCGCGCTCGCTCATCCCGCCGTACGAGCAGTACTCCCCGCCGTACGCGAGCTGCTGGCCCCCGGAGCCCGAGTGCGGGTACGCACAGGCCCCGTAGTCTATAGACGTAGAGCCGCTGGCGCTCGCACCGCTGCCACCTGCCAGCTCGTAGCCCGCCGACTGCGACGGTGGCAGGGCCGCCACCCCGCCGCCGCAGAGGTAGCTCCCGCTTCCGAACTGCGGCTTCAGCGCCTGGCACTTACGCCTGAAGCCACGCGGCCGCCGCCTGAACGAGCCCTCCTCGAACATGAACTCGGACGACGGGTCTATCGTCCAGTAATGCCCCTTTCCTGGCCTCCCCAATCCTTTGGGCAGTTTAATGAAGCACTCGTTTAAGCTGAGATTGTGCCGAACGGAGTTCTTCCAGCCCTGGTAGGAGCTGCGGAAAAATGGAAACTGTTGCTGAAGGAAGGCATAAATTTCGCTCAACGTCAGCCGCTTGTTGGGCGAGTGCCGGATTGCCATGACGATGAGGGCGATGTAGGAGAACGGTGGCTTTTCCTGGCGGCGCGTGGCGGGCGCGCGGCGCGCCGCCTCATCCGTGGTCTGGTCTTCGGTCTTCATGCGTGCGCGTGCGCGTGCGCAACCGTGCGCGTGCCAGCGAGCAGTGCGGCGAGGCTCGCACTCGCACCGCCGCCCAGGCCGCGCCCCGACGCCCCGACGCCCCCCCACCCCTCGCCTCCCACACGCCACGGCACACCCACGGGATTCCGCGTGCTTGCTTATTGACATACCGAGGCTCGCTCTTCCTTCTACGGAACTATCTCTGCCGCACATTGGCGTCGCTCTCTTATAAGACAACACTTTTTTACCAATCTGAAACAATGTTGCATAGATTATTAAAATTCAAAAGATTCGATTAATCTGTACGGTAACAGCACCGTATAAATAATTCTCTACTGTTATCAGCACAATAAATTCTATACATTTATATTAATGGCTTGCAGCGTCAGCAAGTGGAAATGGCTAGAGGTTCGCCGCGGCAAAGGTCGTTGCACCCGCGCCCGTAGCCTGTATCATCCACAATCCCGTACAAACACTAAAGAGCGGAAAACCCGCTTAGACAATAATATTTATCCGTCGCAAGGACGCCTGTCGAACGCCCGCTCTTGACCTAGCACAATTAAAGCAAACATTTTACTAGATCTATAAAACAGTTATACGACGTATACCAAATATTTACCATAAAGCGTAAACCAAAAGTTTTGCATTAAACTTGCCGGATTTATTTACTCGTGCTCATGTAAACGACTGGTGTGAAACAAAAACCATTCTTATCACCATAGCATAGAGTAAGGTTTCGCGGGGTCTTTGTGGAATTGTTAGTGATTCACACGACTAAAGCAAGCCCATCGGGGAAGTCATTGTGAAATGTGGATAAGCGCTACAATTCAAGTTTGGGCCTTATAATGACTACGAATGTTTGAAAATCATTTGGCTGGTAGGTACTTAAGATTTTGAGTATTTACCCTAAACAATGGTTAGGTTGCATAAAATGGCTACAGCGTAAAAAAGATAAGAAAATTATCTTAAAAGTTAATAATTCGAAACATGACAGATATAATAGCTTAGCCAAAGTAAATCCTCAATAATAATATTATGTCTGTCTATTTATTACAATAACTCGAAAATTGCGTAATAATCAAAATAGATTTTAAAATAGATATAACATTAAAATAATACATTTCCAATGCAAATGATGTATGCGGTAATGTTTTTTATAAAAAAATAAACGGGACCCAAATATGATACAGAATAGGTAAGACGAACCAAAGAAAGAAATTGTTTCTACCATTGCTGTCACTCATTTTAAAACGTAGGTTTCACTACAATCTGTGAGATATACAATAAAGTTTTTGTTGTAACATGCCGGTGTTGTTAAATTACGCTTGAAAAGTGGCGTGGTCTTATGCCGTTACGTAAATCGGAATTGGTGATGCAGGTGTTGGAATAAATAATTAAGCCATTAATGAATAAACCTATAAATAAATGACGATAGCGGCGTAAACGCAAGGTTGCCCATCTTTGTCATAAACAATCGATTTCGTAGTAAACACGGTTACTACGGCCATCGCGTCCGCATATTTATCCCCATGTTAATGCCTCATCATAAAACTCATTACACAATACACGTCGAACGTTAATATAACGTTGTGATGATATAAAACATAACCGTAAATATCGAGGGTGCGATTAAAAAAGCTTTTTCGTCTTGAAGCTGCACACTGCGTGTACAGCTGGTTGATCAGAAAAGAGGAAAAGTAAAATCGTACGCTTCGGCCGGCTACTGGTAATTTACGCGGAGCATCGTATTATCGTACATCGAAAATCCATCCGCTTTGCTCTTTCTAACGCGCATTTTCTTAGCGTTGCGCGCTTGAGAGGAGAGACACGGATGCGTCGGATATGGCCGCACGGCCCCGCCCACAAGATGGCGCCGCGGGGAATCTGCGCCCGCGCCTGATCTTGAACCCTCCATTCATCACGGTTTACGGCCGGTCGTGTGTTATCTTTGAGGTTTTTACGGTTTCGGGTTCGCCTTAATTTTGGTATGCAATTAGACATTTACGAGCCGCGTGAATTGATCAGGGCCCGCGGTGCGACCGGATGGACGGATTGTCGTCGTGACATTCAAGTTCACCTGAAATTGGTTAATACCTATGCTCATACGTTAGTAATGACTCCAAACATCACACGTACGAAACAGACGTAGAAATGAGACTTTAGAGCAGAAATATAGCATTTAAATCCTAGGTGCGATCCGCCTATGTTGGAAATCCGCCCATGAAGTTGTTGTTTCAGCCAAGTTAACATCTGGCTTCCATCCCGTGTTAAAGCGTAGAAAGATAACTACATAAGCAACAACATAAGTTTCAAAGTATTTTTGTATAGATTTTAAACAGTGTATAATTTAAACATCGAATGTTGAAGGTATCAACCCTTTTTCATGACGTCCTTAAGCAAGTTTCATCATCTGAAATTAGAACAAAATTAATGCGCAAATTTTATTATGCTTTTAAACAGGGACAAAAAATAAATCTGGTTGACTTTTTCACTTTTACGTTATTCTTATATAAGTAGAAGTATCTACGTTATAAAAGATTGACAAATAATATTTATTTTCGAGTACCTATGCCCTTCATTGGTTGGTTCTACTTCTTTTGGTGTGCCTGGAAAAAATTACGAGAGTAATTTTTTTACGATGCGCGCACACACCGAACGATGAAGTTCGTTGCAGAGCGAACAACTGTATTAACATGGTAACCATAACAACTTTTTAACATTCAACTATAATTCCAAGTTATTGAATTAAACCGTTATCAATAGCGTTTAATGTTTGCTTTACAAATAAAGAGCACTAGCAGAAAGGATAAAATTAAAAAAAATATAAGTATAACTTCTTACGTGCGAACATAGGTACACATATACCCTTTTATAAATTAAAAGTTGGCAAGCAGTCATCTACATTTACAGCAAACGATGGGTTGGTTTTAGATAGGCCTCCATTTAAAAAAGCAGGCCCGGATTATCTCACTCTGCGCTGCATGGCTCTACCACTTTTATAGCTAGCCTATTTCCTAATCAAAGCTTCAAATCAGTTCCTCTTTTCTTTTTATTACAGCAGTTAAAATTCTGGCCCACTAACTAAACGTGAAACATATTTAGTCAGTTTTTCTCTTGACAGCACAACTCTACTCTTGTTAGTACACGTTATATGGCCATACTGAATTGAATTGTATTAGATATCATATTACCGAGACATATATTGTTTTACGAGGTGTATGCCCACATTATTTACATATTTCTGATTTCGTTGAATCCATTGAAGTGTTATACTTCTGCATTTCGTCTGGTGAGTTAGGTATATATATATATATATACAAGAATTCCTCGTTTAAAGGATAAGATTATATAATTGTCGCGGTTGTAACGACACACTGTATAGGTACTGAATATTCCGAAAACCTTTTGCGTTTATACGAGTCTCAGGAGGTAATATCTGATTTTGAATTATTCAATAATGATGCTTTCTGTGTTGTTGCGAATACTGCACGTTATTAAATAAAACTATTTTCATGGTTTTTTTTACGTTAAATTGTTATTTTAGTTTCCTGTTTAGACTAATGAGTGTATGAGTTAACTGTGACATCAATGCTTAAGGACTAAGGGCCTTAGTCTGTCCCGTTACCACGGCATGTGTAGTTTTCGAAACGCGGAGAATTAAAACCACTATTAAATGCAAAAATATCAGTAAACCCGTTCAATTTAACAGTCAGTGATAATGTTTAAAACAAATGGGAATAACTCTATTCAGTGCGAATTGCATACATACATAATATGCCTACCGATATCAAATTGAATCTCGGAGGCGAAGGACGATGTGCGTCAAGTGATGATCATTTCACCGTCATTAAACATAAATTTGAGAGCCAATCGCTCCAAAAATATTGAAATCTTCTGGCTCCCTGCTTAACTGCACTGTTCTATATCAAATTATGAAAAATAACTTCTACACAAATGTTATAAGGTAATTTCTTTTTGCCGTGTGGTGCCGGCGTAAGAATAAGCCACCCCATCTCATCCCGTGGGTGTCGTAAGAGGCGACTAAGGGACAAGCCACAAACATCTGGTGGCCACCGATAGATGGCGGGATAACCATCTCGATTCTCCAGACCCTAAATAACCAGGCCAATAACGGGCAGCAGCGTTATAGGTGCGAGGAGTCTAGAGGAACTGCGGTTGCCAACCCGCTTGCCAGGCGTGGCAACTATGGCACCCCCCCCCCCCCCATGATAGAAGTCCAAAATGTGCGGCCCCCAGTCCCCGGCGGCTCTGCTATTCCTGGCTACGGTAGCGGTCATGGTAACGGCAGGGCAGGGGGTGCTAAGAATCCCCGGCTAGGATTCGGCTACCAACGACGGCGACTGGACCTGGCAACATACAACGCAAGAACATTGAGGACTGACGAGAAGATTACAGAGCTGGAAGAAGAGGTGAACAGGCTGCGCTGGGATATAATAGGATTATCTGAAGTCCGAAGACAGGGGGAGGACACGATAATCCTCGAATCCGGCAACCTGTTTTACCACCGGGAGGGCGACCAACTGTCCCAAGGAGGTGTCGGATTTATCGTCCACAAGTCTCTCATTAACAACGTTGCTAAATTCCAGGGTGTGTCGTCGAGGGTTGCGTACCTTATACTCAGAATATCCAAACGGTATTCGCTGAAGGTCATACAGGTTTACGCACCAACGTCGACACATCCCGATGATGAGGTGGAGGCAATGTATGAGGATATATCACGAGTCATACATTCCTCCAAAACTCAGTACATGGTGTTAATGGGAGACTTCAACGCAAAACTAGGCAAAAGGAAAGACGATGAGCTGAGAGTAGGTAGTTTTGGAATAGGGCAACGGAACCCAAGGGGGCAGCAGCTGACTGACTTTATGGAGAAGGAGGGACTCTTTATGATGAACTCCTTCTTCAAAAAGCAGCCCCACAGAAAGTGGACCTGGACTAGCCCCGATGGTTCTGTAAAAAACGAGATAGACTTCATTATGACGAACCAACGGCAAATATTCAATGATGTCCCTGTGATCACAAGGGTGAAGACCGGCAGTGATCACCGATTGGTGAGAGGCACATTGAATATTAACATCAGGCTGGAAAGATCTCGTCTAATGAAGTCCACACTCCGACCATCTCGTGCCCATATCCAGAACTCCGAAAGCTTTCAGCTCGAGCTACATAATCGCTTCAAATGCCTAGAATATTGCAGCACGATGGACAATATTAACGCTAAGCTCGTGGAAACTGTGCATGCCGTGGGCCTTAAATTTTATAAGGCCCACCGCACAAATAGAACGCAAAAACTCTCCGATCACACTCTTAACCTCTTGGGAAAAAGACGTGAGATGCGGCTGCAGTCTTTAACTGACATGTCAGACTACAGGCGGCTTAATAGGCAGATCTCCAAATACATGCGGCGAGACTTACGCAACTTCAATACAGCCCGTATTGAGGGAGCTATAGAGCGGAACCTAGGCTCAAAAGTCTTCGCCAGAGATCTGTCTATCGGACAAAGCCAACTAAGTTGAAGACTGACAGCGGAGCTATCATCTCCAGTAGACCAGAGGTTTTGAGTGAGATTGAGAGGTTCTATGGACAGCTGTACACATCGTCGTTGGAGCCACACACATGTGTGAGTAACGACCCAAGAGCAAAGCTTATCCGACATTATTCCGAGAATATCCCGGACGTCAGTCTGAGCGAGATTAGAATGGCTCTTGACCATCTTAAGAATGGCAAGGCATCGGGAGAGGACGGAATTACAGCAGAGCTTCTGAAAGCGGGTGGAGAACCGGTACTTGTAGTCCTTCAGAGGCTCTTTAATTCCGTCCTTCAGGGTGGTGCTACACCAGAGGCGTGAAGCAGAAGTGTGGTGGTGCTGTTCTTCAAGAAAGGCGATAACGCTCTTCTTGAAGAACTATAGACCGATATCCCTTCTGAGCCGCGTCTATGTGCTGTTCTCAAGAGTCATCTTGAATCGTCTCGCTTCCAGACTCGACGACTTCCAGCCTCCCGAACAAGCCGGATTCCGAAAAGGCTTCAGTACCATAGACCACATACACACCTTGCGGCAGATTATACAGAAGACCGAAGAGTATAATCTGCCTTTGTGCCTAGCGTATGTGGACTATGAGAAAGCCTTCGATTCTGTCGAAATTTGGGCGGTACTCCAGGCTCTTCAGCGGTGCCAAATTGAGTGTCGGTATATCGAAGTGCTGCAGTGTTTGTATAACAAGGCTACGATGTCCGTCCAAGTACAGTCCAGTAGTACAAAACCTATCCAACTGCAGAAGGGTGTAAGACAGGGTGATGTCATATCCCCGAAACTCTTCAACGCTGCGTTGGAAGATGTTTTTAAGCTTCTGGACTGGAAAGGACGAGGTATTAACATCAATGGCGAATACATCACCCACCTTCGATATGCCGACGATATAGTCATCATGGCAGAATCGCTGGAGGACCTGGGTGCTATGCTCAATGACCTCAACAGTATCTCCCAACGGGTGGGCCTTAAGATGAACATGGACAAGACGAAGATCATGTCTAATGTCCATGTCACGCCTATACCGGTTGTTGTTGGGAGCACTGAGCTCGAAGTTGTTGACGAGTACGTTTACCTAGGACAGTTAGTCCGGCTAGGTAAGTCCAACTTCGACGCAGAGGTCAATCGGCGAATTCAACTCGGATGGGCAGCGTTCGGGAAACTTCGGCAAATCTTCTCGTCGAATATAGCTCAATGTTTGAAGACTAAAGTCTTCAATCAATGTGTGTTGCCAGTGATGACCTATGGAACCGAGACGTGGCCCTTCACTGCTGGCCGTATGAGGAAGCTCAAAGTCGCTCAGCGAGCTATGGAGCGGGCTATGCTCGGTATTTCTCTGCGTGATAGAGTTCGTAACGAAGACA